TAAGGAAATAAACCTGGACAACAGCAACATTAACCAAACCACCTGTTGAAGTTGCATGCGCACAGTATAGTAACAGTGTGGTTACCTTAAGTTCTGCATTACTCTCTGCATTTTTAAGCATGTGCAGCAAAAATTCAGCACTCTTTTTGGGCCACCGACCCTGTGTCCAACCCCACTGTTTGGCCTAAAAGAAAATTAAGGGAGACAATTAGTATTCTTCCCCAATTTAAATTAGTATCATAACCAAGATGAATTCTGTTACCCATTATCAAGGTTGCTCAGATTGTTTTTTTTTTTTCATGGTTAATCCAAAGGTGTCCTAAGCTTGTCATCACTGCAACCACAAAGAACTTGGCCATTCTTATACCACACATTTTCCTTACAAGCCCTAGGAGCAGTTTGCAAATACCAAGTAAGAATTCTTACCTGGGCACACCTACCAACTCCGCCATTGTAACGTCGGAATGGCACACACTGCTTCTGCAAAGTGACATCTTTCAAATACTTGGTGGCTTTCCGGATATGCATACCCTTAATGGCCTGGGCAGTCTCACGGGTATTCTGTTTCAAGTATGAAAACACCTTGTAAATACAGGCAGTTCCAGGCTTACACTGGGGATTCTGTTCTAACATGTCGAATTTTTTTAGCAAGTTTTCATGATTACTGTCTTTAGTATCTTTTATAAATCTGACAGTATTTCAAACAATCAATCATAAAACTCAGTATGAGAATGGTAACATTAGATTATATACAACATATTACTAATTGATATATATATACACATACACATACATTTGTTTTTAAACAAAGACGGTTTTAAGTGCAGTCCATTATAACTCTAATACGTCATAAGTTGGGGACTACCTGTACAGTTAATCTACACATTAGTTTCTCAAGTATTTGGTCTTTTTACTCAATTCCACAACTCTAAATTCAGTATATCCTGATGATCAGAATTCAAAAGGATGGTGGCTGCTCAGATTTCATCCATTTTCACAGCAAATCCAAAGGTGTCCTAAGAAAGTCATCACTGCAGCTACTTTTTCAGAAAGCTAAGAATTACACTTACTGGAACACACAGAGCACAACTCTAAGGCACGTACCTTAAAATGGACCCGAAGATTTGAACCTCTTGATTTGCAGGCTAAAAAAACAAGATGTTTTGGTTAAATTTGGTAGTCTCATCACTCCTTACCCCAAATTAGAAATCTAATCGCCTGTTTACTTACATTTCGTGGGGTTTTCTGGGTCAAGTGAGTAGCGAACCATTTTGCAAGATCACCTGTAAAAGAGTACAGCACAGCTGCATCAGAAGAAGTACGTTTACAGGAACTGTATCAGCTTAAACAATTATTACATGCTATGAACAGCTGCTCAGAGTTCCACTGTTTTCATGGTTTATCCAAAGGTGTCCTAAGAAATGCCATCATCGCAGCCATTTTTTTCTCAGTCCAGGGCTTTCCTCACCCTCCGCAGTTACCTGTGGCTGAAGTAAGGCTAAAACAAAACCAGGGGCCAGCCCTCATCACCCCTTCTTTCTTACCCTTTGGAAGGAAATATATCCCGTTTCAATCTAACCTGTATTGTTCAGGCGTCTAACGACTTGCTGACACATTCTTTACGGCACAAAATAACCCTCCACGTTCTCCGTCCCTACACAA